CATCCCAGCACACTGGTCTAGAGGAGGACAGAGAATGGGAGAAGTCTTCAGAAGACTACTTTAGATTAAGTGGTATCAGGGAAGAACATAGGTTGATTTCAAGTAAAGAAATAAGGCAACTGGTTGAATGTAAGTAAGGTGTTTGCCTTGCACATGATTGACCAGAGCTTGATTCCTGGCACCTCATATGGTCCCCTTGAGCACTGGTAATAGTGACCCCGAGCACAGAGCCTGGAGTAAGCAAGCCCTGAGCACACCGCACATGGCCCCAAATGAAAACCAAAGCTTCTCATTGAGGACAGCGCTGACCATGATTTAAACTGCATGTTCCACCCTCAACCCTCTTGACCCTATTTCCCACTTTCCTCCTGAGAGAATTTACTTTCCTCTAGATGGCTATGTAATTTGCTTATGTTGATTGTTTATTACTGCCTCTTCTAAGTACCATGAGGATGACATTTTGCTCATAGCATCCTGACTAAATAAAAGAAGGCGTGCAAACAAGCAGGTCCTGATAACAACATGTTCATTTGAAGATTCAAAGGGTTCAGAGAAAACTCAGAGCAAAAAAAGTCACCACATTTCTCAGTTTCCATTTTTCCCAATATTTTTTTTAACTCAGTTACAGCCTCACCATTCATCCAGATCTCAAGCCAAAAATAAGATTTCAGAAACCATCCTAGAGTTCTCACTCTTCAATATTCGTACGGTCATTTTACTACCAAAATCTGTCAAAATTATCTCTTATATCTCTAAAATCAGATTCTTTTCCACCTCCATTGCACCGCTGAAAACATTTTCCTCTCTTAGTTTATAAAGTTTACAACTGAGCCTATTTGTTTTGATCTAACCAGATCTTGGCTTAGATCTAGTCCAATGGATGTTTAGACAGATGTGATAAAAGTGACAAATAGAAGAAAGCGAAGTGGACAATAAAATACATAAAGGTGAAAAAAGGATTTTATTTCCTCTTAATAACAAAATGCAGGCTTACTCATATATTTCAAGGTCCTCCAATACTATCTCCACCTCGTTTTGTTTTGATTTGGTTTTGGGCCACAGGGATCAAACCAGTGTCAGGTGTTCACAAGGCAAGCACCATAACCCCTGTGCTATCTTTCTGGCCCAAACAAATGTTGGGTCTTTTTTTTGGGGGGGGGGGGGTTGTCACAGCCAGTAGTGTTCATGGGCTACTCCTGGCTCTGAGCTCGAGTTACCCTGGAAGTGCTCAGGGAACCATATGTGCTCTCAGGGATTCATATGAACCATTGTCCTGGCCATAGCTTCTAGGTGCAAGCTCGATGCCTTACATCTGTACTATCTATCTGGCTCTCATCTTCACATTTGAGGCCTTTCAGCTCCTTTAGGCATAGTGCATATACTTTCTTTCCTCCTTATACATAACTCTTCTTGGTATTTTTTTCCCACAAAAAAAAAGTTATCCCAATAGACATGGTCTTACTCAAGCACATGGTCTATCATCAGAAATGTCAGTTGTAGAGCTGAATGAATAACACTGTTAAATCTAGAAAAGGCAACTGTAATGAAGAAAAAGGTTAAGTCTGAACACAGGTAGGCATGCAAAGGACTGAAACAGAAATCATCTAGTTACCAACCATAGTAGACAAAAATACTAAACCAAAGACCCAAAGAGGTTAAAAGCCACAGTGCCAAGGGAGAGCACTAAAGGGCCAGTGTGGGTGCTCTGTGTGAGACCTTGATTCAACTGTCAGCACCACATGGTCCCGAGCACCACTGGGAGTGACCCCTGAGCAATGCCAGTGTGGTTCAAAAACCAGTAAAGACTACAGACAGCAGACATTTTCACAAAGATATGTGTACAATATAATAGAAATGCCCGTGAAAGAAGATATTTAATAAATAGATTAGAATTTTAGGAAGAAATGTGGAGTAGGAAGAAGAGCCAGCCCAAATCAGGCCATACAAATGGAACACATTCTTTTGGATAAGAGTGCTCAACTAAAAACAGATAAAAACAGAATGTGTTCAAAACACTTGCAAAATGCAGACTTCCTCGGTAAAGGAAAATACATGTGGTTCCATATACCCTTTTACTCCCACGCCCCAGAGAGACCGAAATTAAATCACAATTGGATTAAATCTAGAACTGCACAAATTCAATCAGAAAAACTGGGACAAAAGGACCTACCAGGTCTCAACAGGACTCAACAGGTTGACAGACAGCTCTAGGGGGTAAGCACTTGCAAAGTTTGTGGGAGGCACCAATCTGAGTCCTGACACTGAATGGTCCCCTAAGAAGCTCCAGGATTAGCACCAAGCCGTGAATAGTCCCTGAGCACCCACCAGGTCTATAGGAATCCAGGTTTCTACCCTGAAAACACAGCCCTCTCTCCTCCCCCCCCACACACCCCCTGCATTCCCCACCCCCTACAATCACCGTAGCAAACTCTGAGCACTGAAGCTGGAATTGTGTCCCTCTTCCCCCCCAAATAAGACTCTACTAGTTGAATTGTATCAAGCGATAAACATCCACACAAGCTTGAAACCTGAAATGTTTCAAAATAAAATTTAAGATATAATAGCAATGATAACTAATTTTACTGAGCACTTACTAGGGTCTAGGAGTTCAAGAATATTCTTATTTATGTATAAATGTAAATAATCATTGTCCCCATTTCACAAATAAGCCCAGAAAAGCACACAAAATGACATGGGACAAAAAATAATCGATGAGATTAAGAAGCAAATAATGTCCTTACTAGTGACTGACATCAAGTAGCAGCTTAGACGTGCAGCTGTATCATCACAATTCCCCCAAAGCAAGAACATAGTGTCCAAACCAAAGAAGGATGACAATGTTAATCCATTTTTAAACCCCTGCCAAGATAATCCTTCTAATACCTTGTTCACTTTGGAGTACTCGGTAACCAGATATGTGAACACAAAATACCCAAGAAGCAGAACACTAAACAATTTACAATTTTCAAAATCGGAGATTCATTATTCTCAGGGTAATAAATATCAACTTTCTAAACCAGACTTGCTTGCATAAGAACCAGCAGTAACTTAACCTATGCTCTGAAAAAAACTGGTTAACCCAAATAAGGCGCAAAAATTCAGAAACTGAGCACCTTTCTCCATAAAGGAAGTTCAAGTTCCCTACCGCAAACTTTTTCGAAGCTTTTCTCTGTCTCTTTTTATTTGGACTAACAAAATAACAAAAGCAATGCCATGACATCAAGTAGCAGCTTAGACGTGCAGTGGACCCTCTTCTACTCCAGGGTCCACCTGGTTCAACAGCTCTAAGTTCCTCTAAGCACAAGACACATTTCTGTGGATGTACCTAGGCCCTCCCTTGCCCTATGCCCCTATGCAGCATATAATAAATATATGCTATTTAAATCTCTGGTTAAAAAAAAAAAGCTAACATTTCCTACCTTCTATAATCCTACACTATAAATTACCACTGTGTTAGAATGATATAATAAATCAATACCAAAAAGATATTACTTACAAAGGGTAAGGCACTTGTCTTGCACATAGCTGACCCCAATTGAATCCCCAGCACTATATACGGTCCCCCAAGAACTGCAAGGAGTCATTCCTGAGTACAAAGCCAAGAACAACTGGATATGACCCAAAACATAAAAAAATTAAAATAAAAAAAAATCTCGAGGCTGCAGCAGTACAGCAATAATACAGCAGGTAGGGTGCTCGCCTTCCATGCAGTCAGTCTGGGTTTAATCCTTGGCACCCTATATGGTCCCCCCAACCCTGCCAGAAGTGATCTCTGAACACTGAGCCAGCAGTATGCCCTGAGCACTGTCTGGTGTGGCCCCCAACACAAAAATATAAATGAATTTATACTTCAGACCATGAGAAAATAGTTAAAATCTACCATTTTGTTAGACTCTATACCGAATACATTTTATGAAGCTATCACTAATCCAAGACATCACAAAAAGTTCATTTGAAGAGTCAGAGGGTAGTGCAACTTGCAGCATGTTTGCCTTGCACTCAGATCCAGGTTCGATCCCTGGCATCACATACTGTCCTCTGAGCACCACCTGGAGTGATTCCTCAGGGTGGAGCCAGGAGTAACCCCTGAGCACTGACAGGTACAGCCCCCCAAAAACAAAAACAAAATCCATTTGAGTATATTATGTTTTTAAAACAACTGGCTTAAAATAACGAACTTTCTAACACTTTTATTAAAATATTAAGTTAAGATACAAATCATCAAAACATTCAAATGTGAGAAATTAACCATATTAAAAAGTTTGCTACTGTAAATCGCAATATTATGAAATGAATAAAGGACAAAAACCAAGAAACAATGAAAATAAAGTTCCTTCTGCACTTAGTGCACAAACTGAAGCAAGCACTTGCTCCTGATTTACTGAATTATTAAGATACCTCGTGGCAAACCCACACAATTTGAAAATGACATTTTAGAAAGTTTCCTGGAGGCTGACAGCAATTAAAAGGAGTTAATCTGCTAATCTCTATACTTTAAAGAGCCTTCTTAGTAAAGAATGCAAGTAAGAACAAAAATTCAGATTAAAATACCCCCAAATATTAAGCAACATTCAAAAAAAATTTTTTTATTGGTGAATCACTGTGGGGTACAGTAAGCAACATTTTTAAGATACAAAGTAACTTATGGTTACTGAACATCCATCTATCGAATAGGCCAGGATGATGTCCTTATCTTGGCAAAACTCAGAATATTGTTTCTTCAACAGCTTAGAAGACAGCCTGGTACACCATACTCTTCCATCTGCTTTGTTCTATTTCTTTATGCCTCAAATGGAAATTAAACCCTTCGAGTAACAGCCAAATTTTCATCAATCACAGGACAAGAACTTGGAGCAGAGAATCAGCATGATATGAATATATGACTAACAGAGCCAGACAGAATAATCAGCGGTACAGACTTGATAATGACTTAACTGTTTTCTGATGAAAAATCTCGACAGCATATACGGGAATCACGAATTTACTCTGCTCTTACTTACCTGGTGAGCTCTCAGTAAACACGGTCAGTGTCTGTCCTCCAACACTCTGCAAGGCTAATGGATGTTCCCTTGGAGTACTGACTGAAGCTGGTTTCCCCCCAATATCATGAATATTTGCAAGCTCCTCGTTCAAAGTGAATGACACCTAAGGGAAATATTAGAGATCAATATGTTTGTGGCCAAAAACTTTGTGCATAAAATGTATTAGAAATCAAACTTTCAAAAATGTAAACTTTCCCAACCATTTTATTACTTAAAATCTTAAGATCTGTGAAGTGGAACAAGGAAAGCCTCTTCAACAAGTGGTGCTGGGAAAACTGGACAGCTACCTGCAAAAAAATAAACTCTGAACTCTGTCTAATGCCAGGCACAAAAGTCAGATCACTGTTTCACTGTATCACTGTCATCCTGTTGTTCATCGATTTCCCCGAGCAGGCACCAGTAACGTCTCCTTCGTCCTAGCCCTGAGATTTTAGAAGGTGCCACATTCGAGGCTCTTTCAGGGTCAGGAGAATGAGACCCATCATCGTTACTGGTTTTTGGCATACTGAATACGCCACGGGGAGTTTGCCAGACTCTGCCATGCGGGCAGGATACTTTTGGTAGCCTGCCAGGTTCTCCAGAGTAAGAACTAGATAAGATATTGGGGGGCAGTTGGTGGATGTAACGCCTACATACTGGAAGATGGGGGATCTGGGTGGAGGAGGCCCAGTTCCAACCCGGCGCCATATAATCCCATCAAAGGCCAAGACCCAGAGACTATAAAACTCAGCTCCCGGAAGAGAACAGCAGAGTCTCCTACCTCCACGCTTGGCTGTCCTCACTGGGGCCCCTTGGAGGAGGGCAGTTGAGTTTCCCTTCCCGCCCCAAGCAGAGTCCCAGCAGCTGAAGACCTCCGGTTCCAGCCACAGCCATGCTTAAGACCACTCTCCACACGTTCAGACGAGCCTCACGCATGAAGGAACCAGCAGAGGAACCCTGGTGTGCGGACCCGGGGCATAGATCTCCAAGCCTGCTCAGACTGGGACTCAGCCTCCTCCACCCAGATCCCCCCCCACCCCATCTTCCAGTTTGTAGGCATTTCACATCCAGCGCCATGTTAAAGTCAGATCAAGTGGATTAAAGACCTCAATATCAGACATGAATCCATAAGGTACAGAGAGGAAAATGTAGGCAGAACTCTCCACGACACTGAAGCTCAAAGCATCTTTAAGAACAAAACAGCACTGACCATGCAAGTGGAAGGAAACATAAACAAATGGGACTACATCAAACCAAGAAGCTTCTGCACTTCAAAAGAAACTGTGACCAAAATACAGAAAGAGCCCACACAATAGGAAAGATTATTTACCCAATACCCATCTGATAAGGGATTAATATCCAGGATATACAAAACACTAATAGAATTGTACAAGAAAAACCTCCAACCCCATCAAAACATGAGGAAAAGAAATGAACAGAAGCTTCCTCAAAAAAGAAATACAAATAGCCAAAAGGCACATAAAAAAATGGTCCACATCGCTAGCCATCAGGGAGATGCAAATCAAAACAACAATGAGATATCATCTCACATCACAGAGACTGGCACACATTCAAAAGAACAAAAGCAACCAGTGCTGGTGTGGATGTGGGGGAAAAGAGACACTCTTTCACTGTTGGTGGGAACGCCTACTAGTCCAGCCTTTCTGGAAAACAATATGAACAGTCCATCAAAAACTAGAAATTGAGCTTCCATATGACCCTGCAATACCACTTCTGGGAATATATCCCAAGAATGCAAAAAAGCACAGTAGAAATGACATCTGTACCTATATGTTCATTTCAGCACTGTTCACTTAACTTAATCACTTAATCACTTAACTTCCTGTTAGTCGTCGATTTGCTCGAGCGGGCGCCAGTAACGTCTCCATTTGTCCCTGTCGCGTGCAAGTGTAGCCCAATGGCATCTCTTCGCTCCAGGAACATGAAGGGCCTCAAACCGATCGTTCGCGATCTTGACGAAGAAGTCTGACCATCTGGTAGGTGGGCGGCCACGCGGTCTTTTGACATCCCATGGAATCCAGTCGGTAACAGTTCTAGCCCAGCGGTCGTCTTTAAATCTCATTACGTGACCAGCCCATCTGATTTTCGACACTTTGGCAAATGAGACAGCGTCCCTGATTCTTGATCGTCGACGGATGTCAGAACTCCGGATTCTTTCTCTCATTTGAGTGAAACGTGATATTCCAAGCATAGCTCTTTCTATTCTTCTTTGGGAGACCTGAATAGCGTTCTCATCCTGTTTGCGTAGGGTCCAGGTCTCTGAGGCATATGTTAATGCAGGAAGAACAGTGGAATCAAAGAGATGTGCCCGGAGCCGGAGGTTCTTCGTCCTCTTAGCTATTTCTTCGACGTTCTTGAAGGCGTTCCAAGCCGCTCTCTTCATCCTGCGCAGCTCGGGTGCCAGGTCATTGGTCATGTTGACCTCTCGACCTAGGTACACATAGCTGTTGCATTCGGAGATGGTCGTTCAGTTGAGAGCGAATGGGGCATCAGGAACAAGGCTGTTTCTCATAAACATTGTCTTCGTAAGATTCAGCTGGAGTCCTACCTTTCCACACTCACGGTCAAAGTCGGCCAGCATTTGTGCCGCTTGGCTGATGTTTGGTGTTATTAAAACAATGTCATCAGCAAAGCGGAGGTGGTGTAATTGCTGACCATCTATCTTCACTCCCATTCCTTCCCATTCTAGTCGTCGCATGATGTTCTCGAGGGTGGCACTGAAGAGTTTCGGTGAAATGGTATCACCCTGCCGCACCCCTCTCTTGACATCAACGATCACTTCTTTGTAGAATGGTGAGATCCTGGTAGTGAATCCGCAATACAGTTCACGGAGGATCCTGATGTATTGGGCTTGAATGCCCTGATTGGCTAGGGCTTCAATGACCGCTTCCGTCTCAACAGAATCAAAGGCCTTCTTTAAATCAATGAACGTTAAACAGAGCGGCATCTTGAACTCCCGAGAAACCTCAATGAGCTTGGTTATCATGTGGATATGGTCAATGGTGCTGAATCCTTTGCGGAACCCGGCTTGCTCGCATGGTTGTCCTTCATCTAGTGTTCTGCCAATCCTATTTAGGATGACTCGAGTGAACAACTTGTAGATGACAGACAATAGGCAGATCGGGCGATAGTTGCCAATGTCATGGATGTCTCCCTTCTTGAACAGTAGTACGGTCCTGCTGGTTTTCCATTGGGACGGAACCTTGCATTCAGACAGGTAGCGAGTGAAGAGCCGAGCCAGTGTATTGATGAGTACTGACGGCAGGTTCTTCAGGTGTTCAGGTCTGACCTTGTCTGGGCCGGGTGCTGTTTGTTTCTTTACCGACGAAATGGAGTGTCGGATTTCGGAAGGGAGAACGTTGGGAACGACATATCCATCCTGTGGAATTTGGTATGTCGGCAAGTGGACATGGCTGTCGAAGAGATTTGAGTAGAAGTCATGGATAATCTTCTCCATTGCCATTCTGGAGGATGTGATGGATCCATCAGGACGTCGGAGGGCAGTCATCTTGGTCTTGTAGTTGGCGAAGGACAGGCGGGCATTACGAATACTTTTCCTGGCTTCTGCCACATCTACCAATACTTCTGCTCTTCTCTCTTTGAGGTCTTCCTTGATCGCATCTCTGCACTGCTTTGCGAGCTCGGACGTTAGCTTGCGGTTGCCTGAGGCATGCGCCAAACCATGCTGGAGAATTAGCTCAAGAGTTTTTGAAGATAGGCGATTTTTTGTGGCTATCTCTCTCTTGGCGTTCCTCGCACATTTATGGAGGTGCTGAACCAGTCAATCGTATTCCTCGTCAATGTTGTCAACAATGGCATCTTCCCATGTTGCCGCAATAGTACCAAAGAGTTCCCAGTTGGTGGTCATTCTGGGAGTTCTCTTTTTGAACTTTGCAGCCCTTTCTCCCCGCTCTGTGAAGTAGAATTTTGCACGAAGGAGACGGTGGTCCGATTCCGTTCGAAATTTTGGGACAACAGCGACATCAGTCAGGCAAAACCGTCGATTGAATATGATGTGGTCTATTTCGTTGTGGAATCGTCCACCGGGAGACTCCCATGTCCATCGTTTAGATTCTGCCTTCTGGAACTGTGAGTTACCATGAATGGTCTTGGTCGACATGATGAACTCAGACAGTCTCTCACCCTGTTCGTTCCATTCTAGGCCATGGGTCCCGATGTGAAGTTCTTCAGCTGATCTTCTCGGTCCTATCTTGGCATTAAAATCACCCACAATGATCTTGTAGAAGGTGTGGTCTTCTTTATAGAACTTCTCTAGCTCCATGTAGAACTTCTCGATTTCTCTTTCATCATAATGAGATGTTGGTGCGTAGACCTAGGCTGCCACAACGAAGGAAGACAAAAATGATCGTCTGTACTTTCAATGCACGTACGCTAGCATCAGATGCATCCATCGAGGACCTGATGGTACAAGCGTGAATGATCAAGTACGACATCATTGGTCTGATCGAGACAAGAAGGCACGAATCTCACCATGCCGTTTTCAACACTGGAGAAGAATTGTTCCTCGAAACATGCGATAAGAGAGGTGTTGGAGGCGTCGGTGTCCTTGTCAACACAAACTTGGCCAAGAGCATTGATTCATTTGAATGCCTAACAACCTGAATCGGATGTTTACATTTGAATAGATGTGGCTCACTGCCTGCAGTTTCTATCTTCGTTGTCTACGCACCAACATCTCATTATGATGAAAGAGCACTGTTCACAACAGCCAAAATTTGGAAACAACCCAAGTGCCCTAGAACAGATGACTGGTTAAAGAAACTTTGGTACATCTACACAATGGAATACTATGCAGCTGTTAGGAGAGATGAAGTCATGAACTTTGCTTATAAATGGATAGACATGGAGAGTATCATGCTAAGTGAAATGAGTCAGAAAGAGAGGGACAGACATAGAAGGACTGCACTCATTTGTGGAGTCTGAAACAACATAACATGAGGCTGACACCTAAGGACAGTAGATATACGAGACAGGAAGATTGTTCTATAGCTGCAAGCCTGCCTCATGAGCAAAGGGGAGAAGACAGCTGGAATAGAGAAGGGATCACTAAGTAAATGATGGCTTGAGGAACCGGTCAGGATGGGAGATGTGTGCAGAAAGTAGATAAAGGACCAAACATGATGACCTCTCAGGGTCTGTATTGCAAACCATAATGCCCAAAAGTAGAGAGAGAGTATGGGGAATACTGTCTGCCATGGAGGCAAGGGGAGGGTGGGAAAGGGGGATATACTGGGGAGACTGGTGGTGGGAAATGTGCACTGGTGGAGGGAATGGTGTTTGATCATTGTGTGATTGTAACCCAAACATGAAAGCTTATAACTATTTCACGATGATTCAATACAATTTAAAAAAAAGTCTTAAGATCTTTAGTCCTTAGACATAAAGAGACTATTCTTATTTGTTACACTCATCATTAGAAAGATCACTTTGGGGCTGGGAGTGCAACTCCAAAGGATATACATGTTTTACATGTAGGAGGTCTGAGTTTGATGCCTAGCACCAAATGGTCCTGACCCCTAATTACCAGTACAAGACTGGTTTTAGCCTCTAAACCAAAGACAAAAAAAAAAAAATCCCAAGTAAGTACCAAGTGAAAAGGCTAGACCATTCTCTCTCTCTCTCTCTCTCTCTCTCTCTCTCTCTCTCTCTTCTCCCTCTCTCCTTCACTCCCTCCCTCTCTCTTTGTCTTATTGAAACTTATCTACACAGATGTGAGGGGAGAGAAACAGAGAAGTATGCACTCAAGAGAGAACATAGGCCAGCAAAGATACAGAGACAGAGAGACAGGCGAGTGAGATACAGGTTCCAGGAAGAACACAGGCTTGAAGAGCAAGCCAAAGTGGACCATTTTCAATTAGTCATTGCTTAATGAGTAAAATATTATAACTGTACTAAGAAAGCAATTGTATTTGAAGGTGTGAAAAGTGAGCATTTCACTAAAAAAAAAAAAACCTCCTATAAATAGAAGGTGTATTTCTTCTAGTAGCTTAATGACTACTATATGAGTACAAGGTACCAGTTTACTTTTTAATAATAGGTAAATAAATACAGAAAGGCATAGTAGGTGTTCTTTCAAAATGATTTTACTATATTCTGATTATACAGATCTCCCCAAAGAACAAAAAATATTACATTGAGGATTTATAAATACAAAATACTAATCTCCCAACTCCATAGGTAAATTATAAAGCATTTCTTAAAATATCTCTCTACTTGTGATAGGTATTACATTCTATGCCCTAAACTTAATAAATCAAAATCCAAAGCCCTCAAAAACTTCTATCAGGGCCAAAGAGATAGCACTCCAGAAAACTGGAGTACATGCTTTGCACGCAGGAGACAGAGACTGGATCCTTGGGTCAGATGGTCCTCCAAGCACTGGGCTGGGGCAGTCCTTGGGCATCCCTGGTTAAAGACCTTACCTACAGCAGGGCTGGAGGGTGTTATATGCCTTTTGCCACTGGAAAATTAAAATATTGTGGAAATTTCATAGTATCAAGAGTGGATACTTCAGTAAAAATAGAAAAAGGCTAAGATTGTGAATCAGAAAGGAGTGTGTTTACTCACAAGACTAATATTTTTACTATTATTTGTTCCTGACCATCAGCAATGAGTCTTATGTGGAGTTTCATGGGATCTAACAATCACCCTCCTTTTACAATGACTAATGCAGAGTAAAATAATCTCATGTTTTAAGTAAAAATGTCATTTAACCTTACCTCAGTCCTTCCTTGATTCCTAAAAAAGAAAGGAAAAATTTTCAAATTAGATTTCATGCTTCCTCAAAGCAAGCTAAAAAAAAGAAAGCTAATAAGAAAGCCACAAGAAATAGCACTACTTACAATTTACATAAAGTATTACATTTGTAGAGATTGATTAATATTTGGTTCTCCTTAACTATGTAATCTATAGGGGAAAAATCACATTATTCCCACACAAGTATATTAGATGCTATGAATTTGTGTCATTTAACACTATTACAACTGGTTCTAGAAATATTTTACCCAAATGATCTCAATATAATTCTTATCTTTATTTCTGAACATTTTTAGCATTAAACAGCATGTGAATGCATATTCAATACAAGGTACACAGTATTTCAGCAAGAATTTCTATTTTATCTAGCTAAAATTATTCATTAGCCTAGCTAAATCTTAAAAAATAAAAACTATTACATTTAATAAATTTTAAGTTTGTAAGCAATTTATTTTCATTACATAAACAGCTGGAGTGATAGCACAGAGGGTAGGGCATTTGCCTTGCACATGGCTAACCCAGGTTTGATTCTTCCGTATTCAATGTGCCAAAAACAGTAACAAGTCTCACAATGGAAACATTACTGGTGCTTGCTCAAGCAAATTGATGAACAATGGGAGGACAGTACTACAGTGCTCCATAAACAGCACATGCCTATATAAAAACATTTTCTTTTTTTTCTTTTTTTTCTTTTTGGGTCACACCCGGCGATGCTCAGGGTTACTCCTGGCTCATGCACTCAGGAATCACTCCTGGCGGTGCTCGGGGGACCATATGGGATGCTGGGAATCGAACCTGTGTCGGCCATGTTGGCTGCATGCAAGGCAAACGCCCTACCCACTGTGCTATCACTCCAGCCCCTAAAAACATTTTAATACAAACAAGTCTAATGAAGTTATAAAACACCACAACTTTACTGTTTACAGCTTGGTACTGAAAATATTCTCATTACTTTATTGCAACTATGGCCCTCCCGTTGATCGTCGATTTGCTCGAGCGGGCCCAGTAACGTCTCCATTGGAGACTTTGTTGTTACTGTGTCTGGCATATCGAATACTCTCGGTAGCTTGCCAGGATCTCCGAGAGGGGCGGAGGAATCGAACTCGGATCGGCCATGTTGGCCGCTTGTACGGCGAACACCCTACCGCTGTGCTATCGCTCCAGCCCCTAAAAACATTTTAATACAAACAAGTCTAATGAAGTTATAAAACACCACAACTTTACTGTTTACAGCTTGGTACTGAAAATATTCTCATTACTTTATTGTCTTTAAAATTTTTAGTAAATATGGTATGAATGCTTACTGTCTGAACCAGACAGTAGGCAACAAATTACATATATATATGCCTCTCGGAAAGCCTGGCAAGCTACGGAGAGTATCCTGCCCACACAGCAGAGTCTAGCAAGCTACCCGTGGCATATTCAATATGCTCAAAACAGTAACAATAACGGGTCTCTTTCCCCCAACCCTGAAAGAGCCTCCAATACAGCAGCGTTGGAAAAGACAAGTAAGGAGAGGCTGCTAAAATCTCAGGGCTGGGAAGCTACTGGCACCTGCTCAAGTAAATAGATGAACAATGGGATAACAGTGATACAGTGATACAGTGGCATCAATATTACATCCTATGTAACTTAATACTTTAAAAAAAAACCCAAACTGTTATTTCCACAGTGACCTATCGCTAAAATGATAAACATTATTGTATAACACAATAATTAAAGCCTCAGAAATGAATGAAATCAATACCTGCCCATTCTCTTACTGGACAACAAGAAGTTGGACTTTTCACTAACCATTGATGAGCCGCTAAAGCACTTTTTAGGTTAAAACAAGCAACTGATCAAAAGTACCAAGTCTTTAGCTCTGCTCCAGGGCTATCATGCCAGCTTGTCTTCTATTCACACGTCTGCTTAGTGAATGAGCGCATCAGCTCAGAAACCAGGGCAAGTGGCAGGCCAGGCAGCTGCAAGGTGAGCTGGAAAGGACAGGGAGCGACCAGGTGGAGAGGTGGGGAAGTCCCTGGGGTGAAAGGTGCAGTCTGGGGGCAGATGTCAGAGCTTAGAGTGGGGTGGGGGCAGCCCCATAAGAGATGGCTCAATAACAGATGGGGTGGCATCTACCTTGGTTGGCATCACCTGGAAGAAGCTCCTGAGAGTCAAGGGTGCCCTTGTGGGGCAAGGGGCGAGTCTAGAGAGGAGGGGGCAGCCTCAGCCGCCACGAGGACAGAAGTCTGAACAGGAAGGGCACAAACTGCAAGGGCAGCAAAGCGCAAAGTCTGATGAAAGGGTTTGGGGCGGGCAGGGAAAGGGGCGCTGAACAAATCAGAACACTGCCTCAACGAATATGTAACGGTACTTCTCACTTCCATCTAAGAGATACAAACATGAAGAGGGTCAAGAATGGGAACACACCCCATGGTGTCAGGCTAAAACTGGACACGGATGAGAGTTCATGTCTTCAACATGCAGACAAAAGGGCCACAGTGGTAGGACAGCAGGTGGGGCATTTGCCCGGCATTTGCAGCTGACCCAGGTCTGATCCCAGACATCCCATACGGTGTCCTGAGCACATCCAGGAGTGATTCCTGAGTACAAAGCAAGGAGTAATCCCTGAGCACTGACAGGTGGGGCCCCAAAACAAAACTGAACATGTAAGCAGAGAAAATAGGACAGATGTAAAGGGGTGGGGGGCAGGAGTCTACACACACATGAAAGCCAACAGAAAGCACAGGACAACAATGAGCACATTTGATATCCAGAGCTCAGATGTTAAATATCAATCTCCCGGGGGCCAGAACAATAGTACAGCACATAGGACACTTGCCTTGCCCAAACTGACACAGGTTCAATCCCTGGCACCCCAAAGAGTTCCCCCGCGCCTGCCAGGAGTGATACCTGAGCACAGAGCCAGGAATAGGCCCTGCACATCACCTGGTGTGGCTCCAAAATAAAAGTAATAATTAAAAAATCTCCCAAAGGAACCAGAACTCCTTGAAGAAATGAAGTTCTTCAGGGCTCAGATATAAACAGACATAAGTCTAAAACATCTTTCTATAACAAAAAATAAGTGCCCAAAAAATGATGGAAACATGTCAAAAGTACACAGGCCTAAAGAACTAAACTATGGTTAAACAGGGCACGTGAGCCAGCCAGAAAGTTCCCAGTGGATGATTAAACATTTGAATAAACGATGACAGTAAAAAATGCACCCTGTTGAGAAAAACTGAAATCCATTGCTTCATTATAATACTGAAAAATAAGTAAAAATTTGATGAGGAAAGTACCACACTACACAACACTTGGTAATTACAAAAGAGAGAATAGTAAGTATTTTATAGTGAAGAAGTGGAAGTTTAAAAAACATTATAATCAAGTCTTCAAACTTTCTACCACCATGGATGGTCAAAATGCAAACTTTGTCAGAATACAGCACTGATGCAGCTTTACCAATGTATTCTCAGAGGGATAAAAATAATCTGAATCTAATTATGGAGAAACATCAGAAAATCCAAATTGTACAAAAGTAACTGATTGGTAAACATAAAAAAAAAAGGTTAATTATGCATGAAAAACCAAGAAAAGATCTCCAAATGCTATCTACTTAAAAAAAAAAAAAAGCCTAGAAGACTGATAACAGAATGCAATGCAAGGGAGTCTTCTGCTACAAAACACCAATGACATCAAACAACGCGATACACAGGGAGAGAGGAAGTAAGGAGCGGGGGAACACGGAAGGCAGCGTGACACAGGGTAGAAAGAAAAAGCCTCACTGAGTTGGTATTTGAACAGATCTGAAACGTGGAACGAGCCACGGGAATGTCCAGTGGGAGAAGGTTCTGGACAAAATGAACAGAGCAAAAGTGAGTGTTGAGTCTGAGGTGCTACTGAGGCATCCTGGGTCAGGAGACAGTGGAATGAGGGAGCTATGTATTCTGCTGTTTCACGTGGAACGGGTTCCCGATCACTCTGACTAGCAGAGAACGTGTGTGTGCACACCAGCGCACATGCGTTACTCCTTACAGAATATCTGTCTTTTGACAAGCCTTGAAATCTTCAGGTAAATTTTCATTCTGGGGGTGGAAAAACTGCACTTACATTTAAAAGCACTTGTAAAATTTCAAAAAACAGTTTTTTAAATGTCAGAAATATCGGGTAACTTACTTGGCAATCCGCAGTTTCCCAACCTCACCTCTTCCAGGGGCTTTAGCCCACTGCTGTGACAAATATTTAGGAACCTAAAACAAAGATACATATATGATTATATCTGGGTGCTAACAAGTCTTCTTGAACATGAAACAATGCACTGCTTCTATTTTATTTTCTGCCTGCAATAACTTGCATTGGAGCGATAGCACAGCGGTAGGGCATTTGTCTTACAAGCGGTCAACATGACTGACCCGAGTTCGATTCCTCCACCCCTCTTGGAGAGCCCGGCAAGCTACTGAGAGTATCTCGCCCACACGGCAGAGCCTGGCAAGCTCCCTGTGACGTATTCGATATGCCAAACACAGTAACAACAAGTCTCACGATGGAGATGTTACTGGGCCCGCTCGAGCAAATCGATGAACAACGGGAGGACCGTTATTATTAAGCTCGAATTATGTTTTGTTCTGTAATGCGTCTTGAACATGCCCTGAGAGTACACACCTCCGCCCCACCACCTGCCCCTAAACAACAACAAAAAGAGAATCTAGTCATGACGCAAACATTGGTCCAGCAACTTGAAGTAACTAAGTGTCGCAGACCCCTGATCACTTTGCGACCCCTGAGTACAGAGTTGGGAGTAGCCCCAAGTACCACTGGATGTGCCCACCCAAAACTCCCCCCCCCAAAAGTTTAACTTTTAAAAAAATTATGAAGTGTTAACTTATGTTTCAAAACATGTCCAAAAATGTTCAAATTGAAACCCAAGCACAAAAATTTGTAAATCTACAACTGTACCTCATGGTGTTTCACTAACAAAAATTAAAAAAAAAATTAATGATGGAGAATGGGCACTGGTGGAGGGATGGGTACTGGATCATTGTATAACTGAAACCCAAGCACAAAAATGTGTAAGTCTACAACTGTACCTCATGGTGTTTCACTAATAAAAATTTTTAAAAAAACGTTCAAAAATGTTCAGAGATGAGAACAGCTCCTCAGAAGCACCGAGCACAAACATGGTATCGGAGCTTCCCAAGTTCATGGTAATTTCCAAGATACGATCAAATACAACTTCCCTAACACTGCAATAAGCACTTTACTTACAGGCTCGCACATTTGTTCCTCAATTTTATGAAGTAGATACTTTTCGTTACCCCTATGTTAGAGATTATGAATCTGGGATGCCCAAGTATTTAAGTTAGCAAAGAATATATAAAATTCATAAGTGATGAGACCCTAGATAGTTCAGCATCGAAACTGAAACGTAAGGAAATAAAAGAGTGAGATGGCTCCTGTCCAGGACTCTCCACTCCACACCTGTACCAGCACAGCTGAGAAAAAATAACCATGCTAAGTGGTCTCACTGGAAATGCATGTCCACTTCCAGCAAGGGAACCTTTTGGACGCTGGGGCAAGCCATCTCCCTACCGCATCACTCCCCCTCCACAGATGAGTCAAAGCTCTCTCCACTGCCAAACCACACTTCTCTTCCCTCTGTATTATAGCCTGATTTTTGTCTTGCAATAGCCTTGAAACATATTACTGAGCCATAGTCTGGTTGCTTTCCCCACTTTTAAGTCCAAGGTGAACTACAGCCACTCCTTCACTTGATGCAATGCATTTCTTTCCCTGGTGACGTTCTTTCCTTCAATGCTACCATCCCTGACTCCAGTTCCATCTCTCTTAATCATTCTCTCAGAGAATGATGACATCAGAAGCACAAGCAAACACACTCCTAACAATGCAGCCAGAAGATTCTAAACTAGTTCGGGAATGAGCTCCCAAGAGCAGCATTCCTGGGTAACAGCTTCTCTGTGTGTGAGAACAAGACCTGTCACCTGCTTTGGTGATGCAATATGGCAAAGGAATGGGATGCCATTATGTGGGCAAGTTATAGTAATTGTGACTTGTGGGTAGGGGCCAGTAGAGCACACACCTAGGATGGATAAGACCATGGGTTCAATCCCTGACTCTCCATACCCCCCAAACAGATTGGAAATTATGTCCTGTTTTCTCAACTTGCACGTTTTGATGATGTCAGCTACTGTGTTGGAGAGGCCCAGGTGGCAAGAAAGTAAGGCCAGGCTCCTGCCAGCAGTCAGCCTGAAAATTAGGCTCCTAGTCCAACAACCCATGAGAAACAGAATTCTGCCCACAGAGAAGCTTGGAAACAATACCTCCCAGGAACTCAGATAAGAATTCAATCCGGGCTGACTTGATGGTAGCAGGTATGGGACTGATTCAAAGAACCCAACTATGCCGGGATTCCAGAGTATAATCTGAATCTGAAGCAACACAATTCTGATCCACAGACCCTGAAGCAAGGTGTTATTCCAAGTTACTAAGGTTGTTAGAACACTTCATAGCAATAGATTATTCGTTAGGTAACAATCACCCTTCCAAATATTTAAAATATACTAGCCATGAAATCTCTATCAATCTTATTCTTTTATCAATCGTACAATGAGGCAACTGAGGCAGAGGGAAGTTAGCAAATGTGTTAAGGATTACACAGTTAAGAAGTAGTAAGACCAGACTATAAATCTTTCCTCTGTGTGCGTATCTGTCTGTCTGTCTCTAACACACACATCCTCAGCTTTCTCTCTCTCCTCTCTCTCTCCCTCCCCTCCTCCTCTCTCTCTCTCTCTCTCTCTCTCTCTCTCTCTCTCTCTCTCTCTCTCTCTCTCTCTCTCACCCCCCCCCACCTCCACACACACAGGGCTCACTCCTTGCAGAGCTCACTCCATAAGGCGTGTGGCACTCACCATGGCAGGGACCATCAAGGTCACACCTGACACTGCTGGGAGGTCAGCAGAGCTCCACCCTACAGTGCTATGGGGGAGTTAGGGGCCCACTCTCTGTCCTCTCAGTAACCTCCTTGAATGAGCGGTTTCTGCTGGCTGGCTACAACTCCTCTGCCCTTCTGTTGGATCAGGCGGTCTTTCCTTCCTACCACACCACTGTAACCAAACAAAGGTTCCCATGCCACCGGGCCAAGGTTCAGCTCTCTCCCTGTCCTCCCCTCAACAATACTGAGAACTAATTTCTTCCTTCAAACACTTTCCGTCCTCTCACTGCCTCCTGACAGCCTTCCCACATCTCTGGCTTCTCCCTTTTGGTGTCCACCTCCAGATTCTCATCTTCCTGATCTTTTTCTCCAGCCCTCAAACCTCTCCTCTTCTTATACTCACTCTTACAGAATATCTTGTTTCACAGCTTTAAATACCTTTGAACAATGACAACTCCCAAATTTATTACAAGTCCAGGCTCTCCACACAAGTCCCAACATATACAACTGACCCTTGAACAACACAGGATTGAACCGTGCAGGTCCTTAAAAGAAAAAAAAAAGTTTTTTCAATGAATGCAACTGGTTCTCTATATTGGTGGGTTTTTCTTTCTTTCTTTTTTTTTTATAATTTATTTATTTATTGAATCACTGTGGGAAAAGTTACAGAGCTTTCAGGTTTAGGTCTCAGTCATGTAAATATCAAACACATTTCCCTTTACCAATACTTATTTTTAACTGCGAACCCCAATAGAACCCCACCTCCCACCCCTCCCAATTCCTGTGAGGCAGATGAGTTCTAGTTAACACTCTATCTACTTTGACTAGATTCAATGTTTCGATAAAGGATGCACCATTATTATTTAGAGTTTACCACCCCCACCCCCCCAAATCAGACATGCTGAAAAAGCATTGTGAAATGATTTGCTCTCTACAGCTGGGTTCAAGAATTAAATGTTATCACGGCCACGCGGTTTTGGATTTCTGCTATTTTACTTATTAACCCTGGAAGTGTTTCTACTAAAAGTCAGATAATTAAGAGATTGGTTTCTGTGTTCTGGAGTCGTGGCCCTGCCAGAGAGCCGCTCGTGGGGGGCAACTGGTGACCTCGGTAGGGCGTGAAGGACGGGTCGGAACGCCCCCCTTCCCATGAGGTTTTTGTCGCCCCCGACCCCCAGCTCAAACCTGCTGTCCACAAGGCTCCCGTGCGGCCACCATCTTTCTTTCCAGAGAGGAGAGGGCGAATCTATATTGGTGGGTTTTTCATCCACAGATTCACCAACTGTGAATGTCATTGATCGAGTTCATAGATGCAGAAGCTGGAGTCATGAAGCATAAACTACAAGTACCTACAACATCTGTGGAACTCGTCATCAACTTGAAGGGGGGGGGGGTTCTGAAACCTATTACCCTCATATATCCAACTGACTTCGGCTACTCAAATTCTCCATCTGAATATTTGGTGGGCATTTCAAAATTAAAAACCCCACACTAAAATTCTTATTTCCCGGGGCTGGAGCAATAGCACAGCGGGTAGGGTGATTTGCCTTGCACGCGGCCAACCCGAGTTCGATTCCCAGCATCCCATATGGTCCCCTGAGCACCGCCAGGGGTAATTGCTGAGCACAGAGCCAGGAGGAACCCCTGTGCATTGCCGGGTGTGACCCAAAAAGAAAAAAATTCTTATTTCCCATAAGTATCTTCAATGCTGATAAATCTGCACCTCCTACAACCTTTCATGCCCCAATAAAAGTAAACTTCATTCTTCCAGACACTCAGGCTGAAACATGGGAACTATCCTGAATAGTTCCTGTTTTCCCACATTTCACATTCAACCAACAGACATATTCTGGTAGCAATACTTTCAAATTACATCTGAACTTCAGTTTCTTTTCACCAGTTCAAGGTCCAACCTGACATTATCTCTTGTATAATTATCAGAACAACTTTTTTTTCCCCACTAAAAAACATTTTATTTTATTTTTTTTTCCAGACTTACACATTTTTGTGCTTGGGTTTCAATTATACAATGATCAAACACCCATCCCTCCACCAGTACACATTTCCCACCACCACGGATCCCACTATCCCGCCCACCCCCCATCCCCCATCCCACCCTGCCTCTGTGGCAGGGAATTTCCCTCTCTCTCCTTTTGAGTGCTGTGGTTTGCAAAAGAGGCATTGGCAATCATGTTTGGTCGATAGTCTACTTTCAGCATGCTTCTCCCATCCTGGGAGGATCCTCCCAATACCCTGTTTGGCGTTCCCTTCCCTTTCTGGGCTCCCTTTTCCCCTAGCATG